GTATAATGCCAATACATTTTGGGTTCAAGTCATGGCCGACTGGCTGCCATTTGTTCATTTGTCTGGTATACAATAGAGGGGAGGCAAGGGGGGTAGCTGGTACGGTTTTACGGGAAATAAAAAGGGCTTTTCACAATTTACGAAGAAAAAAAAAGACGTTTTTACAGTTTACAGTGTTAACAAATGGAACATTGAATGGTCCGAAGAGCTCTCCGACTCAAATTCTCCGCCATTGCTGCGCCGTGTGAAGAGACGCATGCGCATATTACCCTCGTAATGCTCTTCATTCGGTTAGAGGGCCTTTTACGTCTTGACATTCAATTTTGTAGTGAATTGTGTCATCTAGTCATTTTACAGTTTCTAAAATGTAATTTCCCTGGATTATTCTTTACGATTTTTTTATTTGGATGTGAATTTTTGTACGTACGAGAAAAATGACACATTTTTACAGTGTACGAAAAAAATATTTGATTGATTACGTTGTACGTCTAGCCTGTGATTACAGAATTACGGAATTTATTTTTTTTATTTACGTTGTACGAACAAACAAATATTGCAATTACGTTGAACGAAAATAACCCTTGCCCCCCCTCACAATAGCAAAGTATGTTTCAAGTTGGTACACTACTTGTATAAATGTCAATCATAAGCACCTAATGTTGTTTTGTAATCTGATTGAATTTGGCCAACTGGCAGTCATTTTTGTAAAAAAAATCCTAATTCTTGAACACATAAAAAAACAGTTATTATGACAATGCATAATGTAATACATGTACATGTTACTAGTTTTACAAAATCTTATTCAAGATGGTCACTTGGCAGTCATTTGTTTTTCACCAAGTCTTTTCCTGTCTCAAAATGTTACTTTTAAGCTTAATTTCAGTGGCTTAATATCAATACTGATAAAAACATTGTCACTATGTGTGTTCCATACCAGTTCCGCAGTTGAAAATGGTTGTATTCTATCCTGCTTAGTATATTTCTCAGCTACATCAGGAGGGAAATCACCATCCACATGTTGTATGGCATCATCTATTAGCTGCAATACTAGCTGTCTAAGATACAATACTGTATGACAATTCTCGTCTCCATCCATCAGCCATTGTGTCCTTCTACCAGTTTGCTCAACTGGTGCTTTCACATGATGGTTATCCCTGTGAAAAGGAATATGAAGTAAGTACAAATAGTGGGCTAACACAAGGGTATAGGATCAAATAGTGGGCTGACACAAGGGTATAGGGTCAAATAGTGGGCTGACACAAGGGTATAGGGTCAAATAGTGGGCTAACACAAGGGTATAGGGTCAAATAGTGGGCTGACACAAGGGTATAGGGTCAAAAAGTGGGCTGACACAAGGGTATAGGGTCAAATAGTGGGCTAACACAAGGGTATAGGGTCAAATAGTGGGCTGACACAAGGGTATAGGGTCAAATAGTGGGCTGACACAAAGGTATAGTGTCAAATAGTGGGCTGACACGAAGGTGTAGTGTCAAATAGTGGGCTAACACAAAGGTATAGTGTCAAATAGTGGGCTAACACAAAGGTATAGTGTCAAATAGTGGGCTCACAGAAAGGTATAGTGTCAAATAGTGGGCTCACAGAAAGGTATAGTGTCAAATAGTGGGCTAACACAAAGGTATAGTGTCAAATAGTGGGCTAACACAAAGGTATAGTGTCAAATAGTGGGCTAACACAAAGGTATAGTGTCAAATAGTGGGCTAACACAAAGGTATAGAATAAATCAAAGAAAGCTTAGAAAAAGCTCCCGTGTGCTGAGAGTATTAGAGACACAGTAAAAATTAATTCAAAATTACTTGTACTTGAGATATTGATGGAAAAGCTGAAAACTAATTATGCAAATCAGAAAATTAAAATGAACAGTGTAAAACTAATAAGGTCAGCGCAATGTAACAGACCATCTATGTACCAAGTTTCATTGAAATGTGATCAGAACCAAACAATTATGAATTATTATGCTAATTAGGAAAAT